GACCTATAAATATTTAATTCTACCTCTGGTTCTAACTCCCAAAGAAACAGGTCGTTCAGGTTTTCGATGTTCAGAGAAAACAGCTTTTACATGAAGTGATTTAAAGGAGAAAAGAGGGACGGAGCGGTGGGTGGGGAGGAGAGGAGGAACCGATGAGAGAGCAGCAAAAGACATGAAGATGGACAGACAGATAGACGGGGATGATGAAGTGTGTGACGGAGATGGACTGACTCCTTCCAAGATAACAGATCGCCATGGTGACCTGCCTGTCAATCAGTCTGTCAGCCACATCCACTCTCCGCCCTGCCTCGGCCGGACATGCACAAAGGCCCCTCTGTGTGTCCATACGTGTGTGTGTCCATGCCCACAGAGCCCCTAACAGATACTCCGGACTCGGTAAGCAGACCCCCCATCTCCTCCTCCTACTCTGACCCATGTATGAGTGACACTGGAGACCCAGTGGCTGGCTACCCCCCAAAGAAGGGACTTCATGGTGACACAGGACTCTTTTTGGAAATGCAGAAATGAGTGTGTCGGTCATGCAATGCTGTGAATTCCTCTTTTTTTTTTTTCCCCGCCCCACTGTTTGGTAAACTGAACTTAATGTGTCCCACATGGAATTATTTGCACCAAATTTGGAGCAAAAATGATCCAAATGTTTGGAATTAGAACGTAAAATAAGGAAGAGAAATGACAAACCTTAACATAAGGCGCAGACCTTTCAGCTGCAAATCTACTTCACCGATGTTTCAGCTGACAGGAGAGGAAACCAAAATAAAAACAAAACCGTTTCAGCTGAGGAAGCAGAAATAGAGCTGAACATTTACCCAAGCTAAAGTTAACCTTAACGTCAGCAGAGAAAAACAGGTGAAATTTAACAAAGCCTGAGCCTGGATGTGTGTAAGGTTACGAAGGCATGTATTGTGTGTGTGTGTGTGTGTGTGTGTGTGCGTGTGGGGGGCGGGTGATATGTAAGTGTGTGGAGCAGAGGGGTTAAAGTAGAGATGAAAGGGCAGCCATTGCCTGCTGATGACTGATAGCATTCAGCAGGACTTTACTGATGTCTGCCTGATAACGCAGAGGACAGGAGCCCTCACTGCCACCAACCAGGAGCCAAACAGTAGCTGAGCTTTATGACCATGTGGAGTATCTCAGGTTGGAGTAATGAAGTCATTTGGAACATTTCTAGTATAGCCAGACAGAGTACATTGTCTTTAAAATGTGGTATTAACTTGGAACTATTGGTGGAAGTAAAATGATTTGTTGTCATTAAAAAATGTTTGATTTTAAATTTTGTTTTCAAAATTGAATATAGAAAATAGTGATGTGCTTCTGAAATCACCCTACTGAGCTCTAATAATCTAAAATTCAGAGTCACCAGTTTCTTTAGAAAGTCACTAATTCATTGAATATATAATTATTCTTTATATTAAGTATAAATATAGCTGCCTTTGAACGATTCAGATTGCCTTTCATGGAGACAAGGTTTATACATGAATGAGTAACTCTTATTTAATGCTTTTTTATGCTCTTAGAAATAATGTTAATGCCATCAACAAATACCCATGACTTATATAAACGCGGCAAAATCCTTCACCATCTTCACCATGGATAGGCTGCAGCCATGTCCTGAGTTCCTCATTTTCCCACCACTTTGGTTCAAATTTGCATTTTCCCCATTCTCTAGACTTTTCTCCGCCTCATGCTTCTTTTCCGCAGCATTTTAATGCCACGATTATCAAATTTAATGAATTATAATGCCAATTAAGGCCTTAATTTAAAATATAATAACGACTTTTAATGATTTTTAATGACCCGCAGAAACCCTGGGAGAACAATAGTGAACAAAACGTCCTAATAAAGATGGTAACACTGCAGGTGAGTCAGGGATGAAGTGGTGGAGAAGTTTATAGCAGCATAAGCTAATAAACTAATGTCCAGATCAACCAGAAAAATTATATTTGGATGTTCACTAAACTTTAGGAAAGATGAGTATTAATTGGAGTAAAAGCTAAGAGGGAGCCTGGAGAAGATGCAGAAGTCTACAGATAAAGTGAGAGGATATGTTACCATGACAACTATCGGTTGTCATTGGTGGAAATGTGTCAAAAATAAGCTGTGTAGTCCAGGATGAAGTTCATAAAAGTTAGCAGGATGATGGATGATGCTTAATACCTGAAAGGAACACGTTTATAGGCTGCAGATTACTTAAATCTGCTGCAGAGGTTCCGGTTGGTTTAGATCACATTCAGATTAGAGAAAGTGGATCTGTGGCTAAATTTTAAAGCAGATGTTGCAAAGAATGAGGAAATATTTTAGCTGTTTTATTCTGATAAAAGAACACCTGAAGGTTCTCTCAAATAATTGCAGGATAAAGCAGTTTTCCAAAGCATTAACTCAATTAGGCAAACGACAAATACATGCATGATCTGTACAAATATCAATGAGAAACATGTGTAGTTAAAATAATATAAAAATAGATCTAAAGGGTAGAAAAACATGTGGAGGGTTTTATACAGTCATCATTAAAACCTCTGTTGACTCAGAGGATAAGGAGGAGCACCTTGGGTTTGAACCATAGCTGAGGTTTAACTTCTAATTCTGTAACTTAAAATATTTCTAACAACAACCAAAAGTGTGAAGTTTTAAAATAGCACTGACCATTATGAAGTGTTGACAATGATTCATATGTTTAGATGCAACAATTAAAAAGCTGGTACATGTGGGACTGAAGCAAACTGCTTTAAATCACACAACTCAACCTAATCTGTGCAAATCTCAGTTTCTCACATATTTTCAAGACAATCTGTCGGTTTGGCCAGTGTGTGGCTCCGTCAGCTGAATGCACTTAGGTGATAACTAAACATGCAGATTCTTAAAGTAAACAGCAACTTTTTCCTCCTGATTTGTATGGGAGCTGTCAAACAAAGCTGTGGTAACATTTCCACTGTCAGCTGAGAAGAAACGTGGCTCAAAAATGTTCGTCTAGTTCCCAAAGTTTGGGTTTGGATCCAGCTGGTACTTGTAAAACACATAGAGGAGGAGCTAAGGGCGATGTTTGACATAATCATAGACTCAAAAATAGTTTTTTAAAGCATATTTTCGTAAAGATCACCGAGGCTGTTTGTCATGTCATCATATCCTTGTCCAGTTTGTTTACAAGCATGTAAGCTGATATCTGCTCATTTTGATCAGAGGAAGCAGTGAATGCATCACTCTGTCAGATGACGTGAAATATGAATCTGTTTCAAATCAAAGCAGAAAAACTAGGTTCAACTACATAACCAAATGATTTTGACACAAACTATGTATCTCTATTTATATATATATAAAAAAACACGTTCTGATGAGTCTCAGTTTTTATAAAACAGCAGCAAAATTCCGTATGAAAAATGCTGAAAAAATGTAAAAGTGAAAAGACATTAACTCATGTCTGAATGTGATTTTGAGCAAATTAAACAAGCCTACAAAGCCCGACTCTTTAGAGTTGCTGTTTTGGCTGCATTCAGACAGGAGTTTAAATAAATGTCCTCATAAAGTCACTGCTCACTCATTCAGACACACCTGTTCAACGGGCCAATCACAAGCCAGCACCGTGGAGAAAACAACCTGTGAAAGTTAAAACTGGATATTTCTAAAACATCTGATTTACTGGTATTTTTATACGCAATCATCCATCTAATGAGCAGCAGAGTGGCTGTAGTGTCAGCAGAATCAGGGGAATGCAAAAACTGGTGTGAGATGATGGAAAGGTAGCTGGAGCTGAATACAACAAAATAAGTGATTTTTTTTTACAGCAGCAGACCAAACCAGGTCCGGTTTAGACGTATCAGTTAAACTCCAAAGTTAGTGGATCTCAAAAACATTTTTTATTTAAAAATCTTTTGGATCCGATGTGTTGGTAAAGGACTCTCTAGAAATGGGGTGTTATGCTGAGAAATACCTCCCCTCTCGCACACTGAGGGGAAAACGGGTTGAAATAAAAACGAAAAGGGAACTTTTACACATATTCTTAATATTTAATATTTCTTTTGCATATATGCCCTAAAATTGAGTTTTGGTGGACAGATAAATTAAAAAGAATATGATTTTAACAGGGAAACATTTCAGTCGATGTGCTACAGTCAGTGTCTGATGAATATATTCTCTGCACGGTGGATGACATTTTCCTCTTTTGCTATCAACACCATTCTATATAATTTCTGACAATTCATAAAGTATATCTTTAAAAGTTCTCTTTTCATTCATATTTCAATCTGTCTTCTCATCAGTGTGCGAGAGGGGAGGTAATTCTCGGCAGGCAGGTATTTCTCGCCATAACAGGCGCAGTTATAGACCTGATATTGAGTTTAATTTGTTTTGGAAGTCAGAGCCCAGATTCTGGATCCATTAAACAAACCCCTCAGCATCACATCTCGTTGCTTCCTGCTGGATAAACTCCGGTTCTGTGACGACATTGAAAAGCTAAAGCTCTTCATTCAGCAGAGTCAAAGCGGTGACACAGGAAAGCCTTACTTGTCCATTCTCATCCTCTGAAACAAAGACCTCTACAGCAGTAATGGGGGATGCGGGGGTCAAAGAGCATGTGTTCCAGGAAAGACTTGTCTCCCAACGTTTTGTTGGCCTGTTTTAACAACAGGACCGGACCAGAACAACAAGCGTGACTGGGAAAAAGCAACAATACCCACTCTGTGTTTCAGTGTGCGTTTTACATCATGCTCAACAAAACATCTACAGAAAAAGCTGCATCATGACATCCGGCTTGTTTTTTTTTTTTGGTATTACAAACTGCTTACTGATAAAATTTGACACTAAATTTTACGATCAACGCAAGAAAACAATAAACCAAATGATCTAACTTGATGCAAAACACCAGCTGCTGCTAAAATTCATTTTTTTGACTCCTGGAAACACCAAGATATAAATGAAAGAGAGCTGAACAAACACAGGAGGCTGATAGCATAGCGCTCCTTAACATGCGGAGAGTGTAGGCTTCCTACCAGGCAGACGCAGGTGATGCAGGGGTTGTCTGTGATGTTGGGGATGTGCAGCACCTCGCCTTCATTCTCACAGCTGGCTTCAGTGCCTTGGAAGGACAGGATGGAGAGAAAACATTTTAATGCTGAGAGGAAACACGTCTTGGATCATTTCATAGATCAGGCATCCCCAAAGTCGGTCCTCGAGGGCCGCAGTCCTGCAGGTTTTAGAGGTTTCTCTGCTCCAGCACAGCTGATTTACATTGATAGCTGATTAACAGGGTTTGCTGAACTGCAATCATCAGAATCAGCTGTGCTGAAAAGAGAAACCTCTAAAACCTGCAGGACTGCGGCCCTCGATGACCGACTTTGGGGATGCCTGTCATAGATAGTAACACCTCGGCTACTGACAATAGTTTTGTTATGCCATATATTCCTAATTTCTACAATTTTAATGCCATAATCTGTCCTTATCAGCCCCACTTCTTTCTTTAAATACTCTGAGTTTAACTTTGTTGAACTTTACTCCTTGTATTCGTTTGTCCAGGTAAAAGGAGTGACATTCGAACCCAGCTCTTAAAAGCAGGAGTCAGTCACTTTGTTACGAGTGGGAATGTAACCTGAACCAACAGTGGGAAACGACTCCAAACACATGGGTTTATGGGCCGGCGCATACAGAGCGCAGTGATTCCTGCAGGAAGAAATCTGCCCTGACTGCTCTGATGTTTACTCATGCGTCTGATCTGTTTTATACACCCTTCCCCCTCAAAACTCCCATGGTGACGAAGATGGGAAACGTATTATCGAATAGAAACAAGCCAATGCATAGACACAGGTGTGAAGGAGATATGAAGATGTAGATGTAACTTTTCCAGTGAAAGATTATAACATTTGAACTAAAGGATGAGAGCCCAATATGCTGCAGGAATAACTGCAGAAATCCTCTTTAACCTCCTTGTGAACAGATCTGGTTGATTGTTAAAACGCAGACATCAAGCTGATAATAAACTCATCCATTTCCTTTAACTTTGGTAAGGGGGTGGTGGCCTAGTGGTTAGGGCATAGAGCTTGGAATCCTGAAGTTCTGAGCTAGAGCCCCACTCCCACAGACCCCCTGCTCCCTGGGTGCCCCATGATGGCAGCCCACTGCTCCCCAAGGGGATGGGTTAAATGCACAGGTAAATTTCTCCAATGTGAGATCAATAAAGTTCAATTATTATTATGAACTTCAACTGTAAGCACATGATGCATAGAACTGCAGGGTTATGTTCAGTAAATTTAGAGACTGCATTCCCTTTTTCTGGGTTTGTTCTCTTTTAAAGACATTTATATCTACCTGCAGTCATGGTTTCTCTCAGCTTGTCGATGCTGTTTGAAGAAGCTGCTTGCTAAGTGGAATTTAAAACTCTCTGAGCAATTTAACATACAATATACAACAAATAAAAGATGTGAAATATTCACTAAGAGCTTCTGATTAAATCAAATTAGTTAAATTATTATATTTTCTTGTTTGTCATTGCAGAGGGGTCATAAGTCAACATTTACTACAAGTTACGCTGTAATTGGATCTCTAGTTGTGGACAAAAAGCTTAGTATCCATTGTTCTGTCCTAATATCCAACTTTAGAGTTGGGCTACATTAAGAAATGTAAAAAAAGGATCAATCAATCTAATTTGAAAGCATTCATTTATGAGGGAAAACCTTTGAACCCTCCTATTAATCCCTAAATTGAAAGTAAAATGTATTGTCTTTGATTGATCAGAGCATAAGAGTTTAATTACCGTATTTTCCCGACCATAAGGCGCACCGTACTAAAAGGCGTAGTCTCAGTTATGTGTCCCATTTCTGTATTTAACACACACATAAGGCGCACCGGACTATAGGGCGCGTTTGTTATATACAGGTACATGTCCTCTACTACCTTTAAATACCTCTACTGCGTATTTAAAAATACAGCGGGGGCAAAACTGAGTATGATTGTGCTTTATTCATGTATTTATTACAAAGTATTAATCAAACCTGGCAGCTGGCCGTGAGACAGACACATCGCAGATGACACAGCGCTGTGATCACTCCTAAATTAACTTAAAATCCTGAAACCTGCCGACGGAATATGTTCGCTTTTATGGGTGCCTGCAGTTTAAATTATTTAGATGAAAAACACCTGCCATCCACCGCGTGAACCCGGAGGCTGCCCAGCCTAGAGGCTGCTGATGAAAGGATTTCTCCTGTCGGCGCACCGCTGGTATGTGGGGGTCTGAGCGCCTCCGACAGAAATAGATAATCTGGATGAACTGACTGCAATTATTAAGTTTTCAGGTGGACTTTCTCACTTAAAAACATAATAAAACTACTTAATTCCCACTGATCACAGCAAATATAGCGGCAAGATTATTTATTAGATTATTAGATTATTTAGATGAAAAAACACCTGCCAGCCACCGCGGTGAAGAGGAGGAGACCCGGCCCAGAGGCTGCTGTTGAATTAAGTTTTCAGGTAGAAAAATAGAGCGGGAGCAAAACTGAGTATGATTGTGCTTTATTCATGTATTTATTACAAAGTATTAATCAAACCCATCAAAGTCATCATCCTCTGTTTCTGAATAAAACAGCTGCGCTAAATCAGACATGCCAATTTCCCCTTCTTCGCTGTCAGAGTCACTTTCCGTGCAGCGCAGCTCCTCAGAAATAATGCCGGCTTTTGTGAAAGCTTGAACAACAGAGCCAGCAGACACGTTAGTCCATCTACAATCCATCCGCAAACTGTGGCGTAACTTGCCCGGCGCTGCCTTCCACTTATCCTGAAACTGTGGTCTCTGTCGGCCATCCATCGCTCCCACGCCGCTCGCAGCCTTACTTTGAACGGCCGCTTCACACTGATGTCGAGCGGTTGAAGCTCCTTTGTCAGACCCCCCGGGATAACGGCGAGCACATTATCCATTTGATTCACCTTTTTTTTCACATCGGCTGTGAGATGGGCACACAGCGATGGTGATGCGTGGAAAAAAACCACCTGGTCTCCTCACATAGGCTACACCTCCCTCAGCTACGCTTTCATCATCTCCTCATCCATCCAGCCTTTTCCATTTGCGTTAATATCATATGTCATCAGAGCGCTGTGTCTGTCTCGCTGTCAGCTCCCAGATCAGCTTCTCTGATTGGTTGATGCGGCGCGTCCAGCAGCACAACTTCAATGTTTCCATCTCGAGCAGCAGCAGCGCATTGGCAGATGCTTAAACGCTCCTGCTGCTCAAAACGCGCTGCGGGACCTTTTGCTGCACCTATACGCGCGTCAACCATTGACTTTGCATGTAAACTCGCTGCTTCTGCTGCACCTGCTGGGTCCGGTTCACACCGATGTCGAGCGGTTGAACAGCGAGCACAGGGTTAATTTGTTTCCCCATGTTTTTCACATCAGCTGTGAGATGGGCACGCATGGAGTTACAGATTAACAGAGATGGTGAGGGGTGGAAAAAAAAACACCTGGTCTCCTTACATACAGCCACTCTTTCATCATCTCCTCAATGAGGTGGTCTCAAAAGTCGCAGTTACAACACACATAGGGCGCACCGCACCATAGGGCGCACCGCACCATAGGGCGTACCGCACATTTTGAGGGGAAAAAAAGACGTTTAAGTGCGCCTTATAGTCGTGAAAATACGGTAGTAATCTTTAGCTTCCTTTTAGACTTGGGACTATAAATGTGAAAGACATTTATCAAAATTGGTCAAAAAAAATCTAGGACATTCAGTTCAGGCTGATGTTTGGTATAGAAACATCCTGAAAGCTCAGCAGTAGTAGAGCTGTGGAGAAAAGCATCATAGTGCTTGAGGTCAGCAGGCCTCAATAACAACCAGTAAGCCTATGAACATGCCGAGTCGTTCGGGAAGCATTCCTGGAAAAAAGCTTTTCATTTCGTCTTGCCATCACAAACATTAACAGCTTCTATTTGCTAAATGTCAGATGAAGTTTATAACTTTTAGCTTTGTAGCACCAGTAGCTTTTATCTAAAAGTTGATGGACAACAAGATCATTTAGAAGGAAGGAAAACAAGAAGCAAAGCTCAAGGGCTCCATATGAGTTGTGTGCTCTACCACCAGGGTCGGACTGGTAATCTGTGATATTGGTCCTAATGTCAGCGTGTGAAGGCCGGCCCTCCTTAAATCATGCCGGCCCCAACACTTACTCTCCGGCCAAAGCTTCTACCTGTGACAGTAAATAACTAAAGAAGCTCAAGAAGTAATACAATGTTAACTACCTAAATGATGCATGCAGTATATATAGCCCTTTCTTGTCATGCACATCTTTGTGACGGTTGGTATATGGTGTAATTTTCTATTTCTTCAAACTGTAAAATCCGTGCAACAAACTAAATAAAAATACAAATAAAATGCTTTCTTTAAACAAAACTACGATGGTCCTCTTACATTTGGAGAATTTATGTTCAAATATTTTGCAAAAATATGTTGTGATGCACGATAAGGTTTTCCATCTAAAGGTTAAGTTTCCCGTCTTACGTGCTTTGTTGCCAGGTTGGGATGTTTTCCAATCTGGTAGTTTAGGATGGCTGTCTATGTGTAAAAATAATTTCTTTAGAGAACAATAGACTTTGGATTTCTTATATCCAGGCGGATTATGAACATTTTTTAAGCTGGAAAACGTGAGTCAGTGACATCTGGCAGCCTTGCTGAAGTGGTGAGTGGCGCTGTCGTGTGATGCTTGAAGATAGATCGATCACTATGCTAACCTAGCACCAATGCTACATGCAGTTTAACAGAAAGATTTTTGTTGGATTTTTGCATGTCCACTGTTATATAAGGTGAAGGATCTGTGATGCTGTGGGCCTCTTTCTTCCCCTGTGAACCCTGCTGCAATGTATAGCATTATCAACTTTTAATATAAAAAGGAGGCTTTAACGTTTACAAACAGGATGACATTAAGTCTTTCAGCTGGATAGAAATCCAAAACATAGGGGCAGATAAACACAGAAATGGTTAAACAGACACAAAATTATCTATTTTGTGTAATCTCCTGAGTCTCAAACCCTGTATTGAACCCAAAACTTCAGAAGAGGTAGAAAAGGGATGTCCAAGTCCAGTTTTCAGGAGCTACTGTCCTGCAGCTTTTTTACGCAGCTCTCCTCTAACACACCTGAATCAAATTACCAGGCCCCTGGAAAAGCCGAACGACCCGCTGATGAGGGAATCCAACTCTTTGATTTAGGTGTTAAAGCTGGAAGTTTTCCAAACGTTGCAGGACAGTCGCCTCTTTCAACTGGGGCTGGACGCCCGTTATCTAAAGGGATTGCTTTCACATAGAAACATTCAGAAATGCTTCGTTCAGAAAGCTTGAAACTTGTGAAATGTTGCAGGAGAACATTGAGTGGAAAAAGAGGGGGGTGGCGAAGTTTTAACAGCATGGCTGCCAATGAGTGTGGCACCAGGGATTCTGGTAAAAAAAAACAAAAAAAAACAATTATTTCCTTAAGGTAGATGTTTTTCCTCACTAAATCAATTCAGGCAAGTTTAATTTCTCAGTTTTAGGTTAATCCAATAAAAGAATTTTTCCTTTTTTTATCAGTGGGATGCTGTTAACACTGTTTAACTTGTCTGGGACCAATATTTGCTCTGTTATAATAAGAGCCAAGAATTTCCTTTGTGGTTCATATAAACAACTGATTCTGAATCATGCAGTTGATGCAATCAAAGTCAACCATTGCAAACTGCTGCAATATTTCCCATTAATATCTTCAAGAGGCTCGCATGGCTATGACTCTTCTTTCCCAGATGGCAATAAATTCTTCCAGTTTGTTTCTGCACGGCATTGCTGTCTCTTCTGCAATAACAATGCCTCCATGCTGTAAATGTCTAATTTATCTACGGTAGTTCTATAGCCCTGGAAATCCACTCCAGGGATTCCTACCACACAGATACAGTAAAGATTTACACGTTTTGAGCAACAGCGGGTCAATTCTTGTTATCTTTGTGCTGTAACCTCCGAACCATTGTCTCTTTAGTTTAAGAAGCTGATGATAGATCAGGAGTTAACCATTCCCTGAACCCAAACTCCAAACCAAAGCAATGTGCTCATATTTTGAGTCAGTGTGATATTCAGCATTCAGAGAGTTTGAAGGGCAGATTTTTTGGCTCATCCACTGATGTGTGACTAAAATAAACCAAACTGATGCGGACCAGGCGATGTGGTACCTCTGAAATTAAATGTGCTTCTGCAATCACTGTTGATTAAGAAGGGGTGTCTAAACATCTGCCCCAAGGTGTTTTGGATGCATAGTGTGAGGGTTCGTAGTGTCTGGCTTCAGCAGTTAAAACCAGCCTGTGGATTCAGGCAGAGCAGACAAACCCTGCCGACTCCACCACCACTGTAAAATTTACAACCTCCGAGCGCAATTAAACTGGCAGGGCTGTAAGTATTGGGGGGGGTCTGGTGATCCGTCTGGGACCCAAAACTTTTCTCTTGTTTTTATGCTGCTGTTTTTTTGTCTTTTTCTAACCAGGTTACACTGATTTTACCTCAAACCTGTCCATTCATCAAGGCTGAGCAAATTATTTACATTCTCTGACCTTTATTTAACCAGGACATCGATAAAGATTCAAATCTCCTTTTTTTTTTTTGTTGCATAAAATCGAAAACAAATGAACTGGAGCTACCAGAGCAGAACACAGAACAAAGGAACTAACAGAATAAAGGAAATAACCTAAACCATGACCTTATCCTTCAGCGATCGCTCTGAGTGGAAATGTTGATCTTTCTATAACAGCTACATCCCACCAAGGAATCTGAAAATGAATCATCTGATTCAGCTAAAAGTAAAATAAAGATGTAACAGAAGTTCAGTTTATTTTAACCCTGCAGTAGAAAACTGCAAATCACAGACTTTGAGGGATAGATTAAGTTAAAGCTTTATGCCAAATATTGAAGATCATTTATATTTACAATTTTGCTCCTATATTGTTGCTTTTTAAAATCATGTTTTATTGTATCTATACTGTTTTAACAAATTGTCTTAAAATTTTTTTCTGCAAAACACTTATTTGTGTACAGCGCTCTTATCAAAAGCTCTTCTGATACAGATCATACAGATGATATGAGGAGAAGGAATCTGATGTGCAGGGATCACTTCTGATTAGGCTGTCTGGTTTCCTGAGGAAGCCCCATCTGGCACATGTTTCACTCTCATCTCCATGTGTCTGAGGCAGGCAGAGGGATAAGAGCCAAGAGTATGGAGGACACGTAAAACCCTATTAGTGCATTGGAAATCTGCTGTTGATCCTCATATCTCCTGGTCTGTATAACTCAATAAGCCAGATGAAGTCATGCACTGCAAAAAATGAAATCTAAATGGGTCATTTTTGCTTAAAATAAGTGAATTTTTTCTAGAATTGAGGAGATAAGTGAGACACTTTTCCAATGGAACAAGACAATTTACACTTAAAATAAGAAAAAAAAAACGATTGCATTTTCTTATTTCAAGTGAATAATATCTAACTATCTTTTTTAAAAGTAAAAATACTAATTCCATTGGCAAACTATCTTATTTACCTGCTCAAATTAAGTGTAAATACACTTAATTTAAGACATTTTACGAATTTCAGATGGTTTTTGCAGTGTGTAAACCAGAACAAATTAACTAAATGAATCTGCTGCATTTTCTAATCATCCAAATGCGCTCAGACGCACAAGTTCCGTCGGACCTGAAGCTGTCAAACCAGCAACCATGCAAACCCCTTCATTCATTTCCCTCCACATCTCATCCTCTGCAAACCTCTGCAGTGCTGAGAAAGGAGGCTGTTAAAGAGGACAGGGAAGTGCTGTTAAATAAAAACAGCTTAAAGAGGTTGGATCTTCGCAGCCTGCCTTTAACTTAAAAAACGATGTAATTATAACTCCCCAAGTAACGCAAACTATAATTTCAGCAAAGATCACAAGTCAACGGAGACCTTTTATCCTAAAGATTCAAATTGTTGAGTCGTTCCTTTGATTTATGGTGTAAATTACACAGAAATTTATAATCTGTGCGGGAACTACAGTAAAATAGAAATAAAATGCTCTTAAGTTCTCCTTCTCTCAGTGCGCAAAAGGATGATTTTGGTAAAGTTGGATCAGGCGGTGCCATCGCTCCTGATTTTCAGCGGAGCTCTAAGGAGTTATTTAATTTAGTAGAAAAATTTAAATGTATGCTTACCTAAGACTAGAAAAGCGCCATTTGTTCTGGAGCAAAAACGCATGAGTGTCTTTGATAGAATAAAGGTGTTTAACTTGGGTCTTGTTTATTTGTTAATTCCCATGGTGATCGTGCGCCGACCTGCAGGCGAATGCCGAGGGATCCAACCCAGAACCTCACCGCTAAATTAGGGTTGATAAAAAGCACAGGGCGCCTGCAGCGCGGCTCCGGATGGTGCGCTGAGCGCTGCAGGAGCGCAGAGACGCGGCAGCAGACTAAATAACCAGCAGTTTGCACGAGCTTTTCCTTACGCGCTGTGGGTTTTGTGATGTGTTATTATACAGCAATATGATCCCTCTAATCTTACCTGTAATTAGCGGAGAGGAAGAGCGAGGCGTTTGTAGCAGCCACAAGAAGCAGAGGAAAAACCTACAGGTGGACCAGGAGGAAGAGTTCAAGCAGAGGGGCGACATCATCGGATCGCTCCAGGAAGAGAATAAAAATATCCCAATAAAAATAAGAAGTCCCCAAATCAGCGCCTGCCTTGGAAACAGCAGACAGACTCTTCAGCTGGTAAGTTGCTCTGAAATGCAGAGCGACAATCAGCCAGACGCGCGGTAATTACAGCGAAATTAAAATGACAAAGACGCGGCTGCGTGCAGGAGACAGCGCGTCTGTTAGAAAAACTGAACTCATGGTAGGAAAAAAGTCACTGATGGGCTAAAAACTGTCACAACTCCCTGTGGTGAGTGTCCAAAGAGAAGCACAGAGATTTAAAACCTGGAACAGTGCAACAAAGTGAGAAAAACACTACATGTGAGGTATCAGTCCAAAGATCCGCTTTGCGCACTGATGCTCGTCTGTCCGGGAGCGCATGCAGTCTCTGTGTCTGCGCGGTGTTAAAAGCCGACCTGCCTCCAGTCCTCTGATATTAAAGCGGACCTCTGGTGTCGGAGCGCAACGCGGAGCCAGAAAGTCCTGCCTCCTCAGCGCAGCCCGGGACCTCCCTCTCTTCCTCCAGCTTCCAGACTTCTGCAGACCTCCTCCAGACGCACTCTGTGGTCCACTGCTTCAGATCTGCAGCTCCACGCCTCATTTCCTTACTACCGAGTCTTAATAATGACAGTTCGTCATACGGAACCTCTGCGCACCGAGAAGCTCTCTGCCTGAAAAATAAAAAAGGAGCAGCTTCTCTGTCTTTAATTCAGTTTGTATATTAAGTTCCTTTAAGAATGAAGGAAAAGGTATTTCAAATGTTATGGCTTTAAATGCACTGAGATCAATATGCTTGTCAATAATTTCTGAAACCCCTGATGCTCCATTTAAAACCGTTAAACCATGGCACACATCAGATATTGCTCCCTTGTGTGACACCATGAAGAGAAGTAAATCAAAATAATAAGAACTAATTGTAAAACTTGATAAGCCAGATGGTTATGTGCCAAATCAGGATCTTTCCGGTTCTGTTCTTTGTTTTGGTTGATCCAGGTTCTGCATTGATTTGTTTAAACAATCTCCAGTCATTTGACCTTTTAGGAAGGAGATGGATGGAAGGAGATTTATGTTTCCCAGAAACAATTTGAGACATTTCTGTCTGAAGCTGAAAGGATAATGTCATTATCCCACTGTAAAAAAAAAACTGAAGGACCCCTCCTGTGTCCACTGATCTGATGATGATAAAATTAGAGATAAACTTTTATTTGTTCTGGTATTCGGAAAATAATTTTATTCTAATTCCTCCTAGCTGACCTAGAGCAGGATTTTTTAAAATCTGATATCAGACATAGAGATAAAAAAACAGTTTGTATATAGTACCTGGTTTTAACTGGCACTATATGAAAGTAAGAACTTAGATGATAAAAGGTTTCACAGTTTAAAAACATACAGACAAAGATATTTGCTTTATGAGACATAATCTTAAGCAACCTAATTATCGAAGATTCCTGATATTAGATCTAGTTCTGTTGTACCACCTTAAATGATCAGTTATTAGAAGGAGGGCTGCATAAAGGACATCAGCAATCCCACATTAATCAGGCTTTTTTAGGTTGAGAGAGGACATTTTTAGATTTGTTTTTTTTTTAAATAAAGAACAGGTTTGATTAAGGAGTTCTAATGTAAAAAGGATTTAGTTATCATTTGTCAAATAATTATAATTATCTTCTTTCATTTCTTTTTCAAAGATTTTTAGAAGTTCAATTTCTTATTTTCCCAAATCATCAAATTATACAACAGACATGGCGGCGAGGGCTGTTGGATCTGAAGAAAAGAATGCATTAAAAAACAGTATAAAAGAAATAGGATCAAAGTAAGACTTCTACTGAGCAAAGATTGCTTTTTTTGTCATATGAAGAATCCATGTATCTCAATGGAAAATCAAACCATAGAACATTTAGATAACTATAGTTTACATGTTTTATTGACTAAACTATGAAAACTTTCCAAACTTTGGCAGTATAGGAAGTTTGACTCCAATGAATCCTGAAACATGGAGTGAAAATGCATCTCAAATTTATCTGATTTATTCCGATTTACAGTAGGGGGAATGTTAGAAGATTCATTAAGGTAAAAGAAAATATACTTTTAAGGTGATAGGCTATAAAAAAAACGTATTTTTTATCATCTCATGTAGATGCACCTCCTTTTACATGAATGACTGCATCATTGCAGCTCGGCTTGGAGATGATAACTGGTTCTGCTCAGAGGTCTTTGATTGCTGACTTCAGGTCATCTGCATTGTTGGGTTCTATCATCCTGGTAATTTTCCACAGACTCTTTATAGGGTTCAGGTTAAAGCCAATCTGCTGGCCGATCATGTACAGTACCAACATGGTCATTGGTTCAACCTTTGGTACCTTTTGGAATGTGGGCGGGAACCAATTCCTGCTGTAAAACGAAGTCGATATTTCCATATTTTCAGCTAAAGAAAGAATGACGTCCTCCAACTTCCCAGTAGGTTGCCATGTTGACAGTGAACCAGAACCAGCAGATAACACTGGATTTCTGTGGCTCTGTAATCTTCTACCAGACTCTGTGTCTTTGATTCAAAAATGAAATGAAAACCTTTATTAAAAGGAGAACTTTGGGCCATCAAGCAGCCGTCTTTAGCTCGGCTAAGATCCTTTTGATGTCGTCTCCAGTTCACAAATAGCTTGACATGAAGACTGCGACATTTGTAGCCCACGTGTAGCTTTCATCTGTACATTTGCGCTACTGATGCTCTTGAAATTTCACAATCATCTTGAAGCTGTGGTTCTTCTGCACATTTCCCTGACACACTTTGTCATTTTTCCTTATCTCTCTATTAATCTGCTCTGCAAACAACCATAACCTTTTGTGGTTAACACTCTCAGATTGTTTAGGCCATAATATGACCCCTACTTACGGTAACAGTTATACATTAAAATAGGCTTTAAAATGATTGGTGATATTTTATGTTCTAATATGAAAAAAAAAACTTAACTTGAGATTTTAATTTTCTGTAAGTCATTTGAATTAATACTAAAAGACAAAATGGCTTAAAATATTTAACTTTTTTTCTAAAGAAATCTATACAATATGAGGTGAATATTCTAATTATTTTACATGATAGTATCTTGTATGTACAAGTACTGGCATTTTAGTTATGGCATGGAAACATAATCCGACCTCGGGAATAAGGTAGAGAGAGAGTCAGAAAGGGATGTTTGAGTTTGTCGCATAGAATAGTCGATTAATGGAGAAACCACAAACTGTAGAAAATCTTTCATAGATGTTCACCATTCAATCTTGCTGAAGCTAAACTTTAAATAGTTTTTCTACACTGAAATTCATTTTAATCTGTTTTTCACTTTTAACCTGATATCACAAGGTTTCAATATATTTCTTTTTTTTTTTGCTGGAGCTAAGGTTTAAATAATTATTTTGGTCAATCTTATTGCTTTCAGGAGTCTCTCTTGCTTTTCTTGTTTAGTTACTGATAAATAAACAGATCTGAAACAGAATTGCATCTTTTCTAGAGAGCTACTTCTACCTTTGTGGTCGTTTAAGGAATAAGAAGCTCCTCACTGCAGCAGGCTGAACGTTAGTTTTCATTTTCTGTAGTGGGAGCAGAGTATAATTCAAGTAAAGTAATTAACTCAAAAAGGTGATGTTTAGAGTTGACAGAGGTGCTCCTGTTGATTGACAAAGCCTGAGACTTGTCCAACTCAGGATGCTGCTTCACAACACAAACATTTACATTTGAACATCATGTTCTTATTAATCAGCAGGCTGGAGAGAACACTGAGGTGGTTTTTGTTAGGAATATTATTAATGATGTGTGAGTCTGTTCTTCCCTAATATTACCTGCCTGTTGCGTGTCAGAACTACACCATATCTAATTAGTAGAGTTCCTCATTCCGGATGTACAGTTAATATCATTGTGTGCATAACAGAGATTTTTTGAAAATGAAATGGGGGCAAGGAAAGACAGGATCATTCTTAACAGCAAGTTCTCTGTGTTTTTATTTGGGACACGGTGGAATAGTTTGATATGGATGGAGCCATGGATGTCTCCTCATCTGCAAACGTGTATAAAGCCTTAAATGACCCAGATTCTTATATCGGAGATCTGATTGTTCGTAACAGAGCACTTCGCTCTCAATCTGCAGGTTTACTAGTGGTTCCTAGAATTTCTAAAAGTAGAATGGGAGGCAGATCTTATCCTGGAGAGAGTTTTCAGCTTTTGCTTCTGCCATCAATGCCTTTGTTTGTGGAAGTTGGAGACTGGCCTGTTTGTTAGTGTAGTCCTGTTTCTCTGACTGTGACTGGCTGGATGTGCTCTCTTCATCCTCTGACATGGGAGTTTGCTCAGAGCTTACTGCCTGACTGTGTGTTTCCTGGATGGGGCCGCCTTTTACAGCTGCTTTTTGTATCTCTACTTCTGTCTCCTTGAACCCCAGTCGGCCTCGGCAGATGGCCGCTCACACTGAGCCTGGTTCTACTGGAGGTTTCTTCCTGTTAAAAAGTAGTTTTTCCTCTCCACTGTCGCTACAAGCATGCTTAGTGTGAGGGATTGCATTCGACAATGAGTCGATGCAATCAACTGGTTTTCCTTAAATAGAAAACTTTGAATCAATCTGACTGTATGATCTGGTGAACTGTAAAGTGCCTTGAGATGACATTTGTTTTCTGAATTGGCGCTTTATAAATAAAGTTAATTGAAACTGAATATAATGTAATGAGGCATACTTGAGTTGTGTAAAATGCTTCTTTAACTGTGATTCGTGGCCAACTTCAACGAGAAGTGAGCCCGGATGGTAAGCACTGTCTTCTGTAAACCTAAGCAAATTCTCTGGACTGAGAAGGAACTGATAATGTCTGTCAAACTGTGTTGTCCTGACTCATGATTATGTAATATTTTACATTATGAAGTGTTATTTAAAGAGTTTTTCTAGAGTGATCTCTTCTCGGGTAAAGAACCAGAGAGAGAAAGCTTCAACGTGTAAACAAAGAGCTTTCCATAACATATTTTTTTAATATATGAGGCAGGCTGCCTGACACTGCCTGTGTGTTTGTGAGTCTGGCCTCTTTAAAGTGAAGCCCATCAGACGGGGAGGAAAAGCGAGTCTTCAAAGAAATAATTAGGACCCACCCAGCAGCTTTTAACTGAGCGTCGGCTGCTGTGTGCTGGTAACACCATAGGGCTGGTTGAAGTGCAAGTGTGTGAAGAAAGACGCTCAAAGGGAAACCCACTTTAGGAGTAGAGGGAAGAAAAGGAAAGCTCCCGTTTTAAGAAGAAAGAGACAATGTGAAGAAAGAAAGAAAATCAAATAAAACACCACACTGTAAAACGTAACCATCAATTTGAAGATTAGTGGTGAAGAAAACTCCAGAAATTGGGTAAGGTTTGGTTGTAGGAATATTAACCACTAGATGGCAACAGAGAAAAGATGGGGGTTTGATCTGCTCTGACCACAACCTGCTCTCTGTGCAGCCAGAAAACTTTCCTGGACACATAAACCTGGAAGAGGGAAGCAAAGTCAGGAGCTGAAATCTACACCTCTAGTTCCCAAAGTCGGCAACATTCATG